TTAATTACATAGTTACCATTTAAATTCACTGAATCAATATTTTCTGCTGATAAGATTAACAATGTTAACACCAAGGGACTAAAATTACACGTTATAAACTTAAGGGACTAAATTAAATTTTGATGTAAATTTAGAAAATCAAACGCATATATTAACCATAAAATTGTTAGGCCTGAAAGAATTAATTTACTTGCACAATCATGGGTACTTCTGAACCTGCTAAAAAACTTGTGGTATTTATCGCATTTTGGCTAAAAGTTTACAGGTATTTTTACACATTTACCTCTGTTTTTTGAGTTGGGTATTCTTGTTCTTTCATCACATTAGTGTCAGCCCAACCGCAAAAAGTAACAGCCGTTAGGTAAATTTAACGACTATGTCATCTTTGCTCTAATTTTGTAAAGTTTATGAGTATTTTTATACCTTGAAAAAGCTTTATGTTGTTGGACGGACATGGGTGAAATTTGCGAAACTCCTGTCTATAAGCCCATTATGAGATAGTTAGTTGTCATATTCTCCCCAGAAGGTAATTTCAAAACAGAAAACAAATAAAGATTCAATTATTTAAGTAGTACAAAAAAAAAAAAAACACACGCAAACCCGCCAAATTTAGTAAAGAGAAGGCAACCAAAACTATAAACGCAACACTAGTCAACAAATACAAACATAAAAAAGGTTATTACTAAACGTTATCCAATAAACAATCTAGCCACTTGATGTTGGTCTACATCTGAATCTACACACACACACGCACATATTATATTGCAATATAATATTAGCAACCTTTAGCCTTTACACGTGAATATATCGATCCTAATCAAATATAGTATTTCGAAACGGAATATGATGATTCGGATGCATTTGTTTCAATCCCACCAAACGTGTCCCAATATATCTGTCGTCGCTAAAGATCGTTTTAATTTGCATATAATTAATAATGTCTCATTCATCTTAATAAAAAATTGCTGTTTGTTTTGCCATTCCAAGAAAAGATTCCTTCATTTTTTTTTCCAAAAAATGATCAAGATGTATGACACACACACAGATAGATATATATATATATATATATCCCTTTGTTATTATAATGATATTTCTTATTAATCTTTTCTAATGTAAAAGTTTAGGTGAGTTCTCACAAGTTCAAAACAAATCTACCAATTTAAAGAGCGTCTACGCCAATAAAATTCTCATGCAAAGGACAACTTGATTTCCACGTAATTGAGAGGTATCAACCAATTTTTTCTTTGGAATTATTTTCATGAAAATATAAGAGATATTTGTCATATATAAAATTCCATTTTGTTTTCTTTAGTTGTTATTTCATTAAGTAGTAAATGAACTTAATAATACTATCAAATAAAGGGGCAAATTGAAGATTTATTAAATTATATTTTAAAATAGAGTTAATAAAATGTAAGATCTTTTTAATTACTACCTCCGATCTCTAATGTTAGAGCTAATTGGGATTGAATTTAGTTTTGAATATAAGACCCCAATCTACTTCATCTCTCATTTTTTCCCAAAATATTCTATTGATTCTAAAAGGTTCCCACCAAGGAATAATTTCAATCATCCAATACATATGATTGAAGAAAATAGTTTAGAAAGATCAACATATATTTATTATAAATAACTAACAAACTTAGCTAATTTTTCTAATATTTTTAAATTAATTATATACCTTTTATATTAAGAATCAGAACTAATATAATGAAATATATTAGAAATGCTTTGTAAATATGACCCCGAGTATGATTTATATAAAATTTCAATCATCCATATATATATATATATATATATATATATATACCGTGGAAAAAAATTGCAATAAAATATTAGTAAAATTTAAACGTGAATATATATTTTAATGAAATATTGTTCGTCGGTCAGGTTGTTCGTAGATGCCTACTTATTGGCTCTTTAAACTTATGTTTGGTATAAGAAAAATGAAAATGGAAGGGGACAAAAAATTTTAATGAGTTTAATTTAAAAAATTGGGAAAGTAAAGTTATAAAACTTTGATAAAAAGAAGATGTAAGACAAAAGAATAAACAAAATCAATTAAAAATTTTTAAACCAACTTTTCCAAATTTTCAAATCGGACTCATTAAAATTTTTCCTCCCCTGTTTCCCTTTACCCAAAAAAAAAAGTATGCACAAGGCAAAACAAAAAATCTAACAATCTCAACCAAAAAAAAAAAGGTTCGCAGTCTCGTAAATCCATGTATTCATATAGAGTAGTTAATCTTTTCATAAAGGCTGATCTGTTCTTTTAATGTACAGACAGCAAGTTAAAGTATAGCTTTCTAGCTCGTTTTGCTTTGTGGTTTACATACCATGGCTAGGAGTCCAAATCTTAATCGCATGAATTTATGGAACATTTCTTTATAATAAAAAATTACTTCTAATTACACCCCAAAAAAAAATTATAATCCAAATATTGTAATTACACCCAAAAAATTTATAATATGTGAATCATAATTTATAAATATTCTAATTTATGGCCCAAAAAAAAATTGCACCCAAAAAAAAAATCTTCTAATATGTGAATCATAATAAGGATACTTATAATCCAAATCGATCAAATGCAGGTAACATACATATGTGATCCTCGAACGATATTGTCAATATGTGTGTTATGGTCCCTTCCAAATTAACTAATATCAAAAAACATAAAAGTAAAAAAAAAAAAAAAACCCGGGGGGTACACTAGTGGGTATCACCCATCGAGGCCATGTGCGAATTCTCGAGGAATATAACTTGTGCTCAAAATTATTACTTGGGATGGATAGCAAATTTTTATTTACTAGAGACACTAACATTCTTTTTGAAATTTTTAGTATCATGTTTTATTTTTATCCTTATTGGTAAGCTTTATTGTGATTTTTTTACATATTTATTGTTTTTAATTAATTTTAACTAATTTTTTATTTATGTAATTCGGTTATTTATATTTTTATTAAAAAAATAGATGAGAGTAGCAGTTGAAGACCGTACCAAAATCAAGAGCAATGAAAAGCCTGCTTTATTAACAATAACACTCTTCTTTTCTTTTCTTTTTTTTTTTTGGTTTTTTTCTTGTCCTTTTTAAAAGTGAGCAAAGCAGCACATGAAGTCTCAAATCCTCAATGGAATTAACAATATATATCTCTCTTTGTATTAAAAAAAAAATCTCGTTCATCATAATAGAAAGATAATTTCCCGCTTTCATGAAAAATGAAAAGAAAAAGGTTTTATTGTAAGAAAAAGATTTTCAAAATAAAGATTGAGATATCCAATATATTAATATCTGTATTATATTATTACTTATTTTGGTATGAAATAAAGTAGGCTCAACAACATCATATATAATATTATGTTTTTATTTCATTTCATTGTATAGCGAATAACTTTAATTCTATAAAAGATCATAAAGAAAATCCGCTGAATATCAAATATTACCCAATCTATACACGGATAGCTATTTCAATATCATTAATCAATGTGTGTGTGTGAGTGTGTATAAGGATAACAACTGTATATGACAGAAATGACGATGAACAATAATGTGACTCTTTCATCAAATTTTATACCACCTCCGGTTATTAATATAAGATCTACTTAACTAATTTGGATAGATTAAAAAAGTAGTTACATTAGTTATTTGTCAAAATTATATTTTGGTTTTCTTAAAATACCCTCTTAAATTATTTGGATTGAAACTACTTTTTGATACAAACTCTCTTAACATATGCAATTAATAGGGTTAATATAAATAAATAAATGGAACAAAATGAATCAAAGTTTTATATTTAGAATTTAACTACCATACTCGCTCTTGTATTAAGAAGTGGAGGTAGTAGTATAGCGCACAAACAAGATAATGAATTAACCGAAATCAAACAAACGCATTTAAGGTGCCGCACCCACGTGATCTTCGAAGCTAACAGTATTACTGTTCAATTAATTTCAGCAAAAGATAAAAGTTAAACTAATAACTTAGTTCAATGATTGTAATAGTGAAATCGCTTGTTGAACCCATGAGCGAATTTTCTATAAATTTACAAATGCACCATTCCGTATGATGATGTTGGGATATTTCCTGTGGGCGACGAAGAGAAAAAGTATATACACTACCAAAAAAAAATTGATTTTCAGTGGTGACTTTGAAAGTTTTTTACAGCGACAGCCAAGTTGTTGCCGTAGTAACTATTGCTGAAACTTATCAGTAGCAACAAAAAAGGTCACTGTTGGAAGTATGGTCGCTGCTGAAAGAATCTCAGTAAAGATATTTAAAAGACAGCCACCAAGACCAATGAAACGTTATGAAAAGATAAAACAAAAGACACACTTATTCATAAGAAAATGTCACTACTTCATGGATTTGTGAAACATAGAATAAAATTAAAGCCTACTTGCAGTCCATAAATCCTCGATAGACATCACTTTGATCAAATTTTTTATATTTATTATGTCAAATTTTTTAACCACATGTATCATTTTTTTATGGGTTTATAATTAATTGATCTTCTTTTTTTATAATTATGGTGGAAAGAGAGGGATGGTGAGGGAGATGATCCAAGAATTTTTACTTAATTGAGGGTAATATAAAAAGATAAGATAATTTTAAGACAATCAACAAATTAGAAAAAGTTAGGAACAGAGCTAATGCTAGTTAGATATAATTAAGAACCATTTTTATATTGGAAATTATTTTTTTGTTTTTCATTCTCATTTCATCATTTCATTCTGCTTAACATGTTTTTATAAAACTAATTCAGTCCAACAAATTCAGGGAACATACGCATGTGATCTTGGAAAGTAACAACATTTTCAATTACCAAAGGTCGACTGGCCCTCCCTATTTTAGTATCAGAAAATAAAATATAAAAATAAATAAATAATTCATAGATGTAATGGGGGCACTCAATGAAGGCACGTGCAAGTTCTCTATAAATGGGAGCTCAAACTTATAAGCTGAACACACCACCAAAATAGTCATCAAGTTCAAATCAAGAGCAATGAAGCCCACCTTTTCAACAATAATAACACTCTTCTTCTTCCTTTTCACCTTCTCCACAAAAACACCACAGGCAGCGGCAGCCACGCCGGAACCCGTGCTTGATATCTCCGGCGAAAAGCTCAAAGCCGGTGAGAGCTATTTCGTCTTGCCGGCAGGCAGAGGAAGAGGCGGCGGTCTTACTTTCGGCACCTTCGGAGACTCTTGCCCTCGTGTGGTTGTGCAGGAAAGGTTTGAAACCTCCAAAGGCGAGCCAGTACAGTTCTTGCCTGCAAACCCTAAAAACCACGTCATCTTCACCTCCAGAAACCTCAATGTCCAGTTCTCTCGCAGAACAACTTCAGCTTGTGACGAATCCCGGGTATGGAAACTAACAAAGTTCATAAGTGAAGCAATGAATGTGGGAATTAATGGCATTGCAGGGAACCAAGACTTCAGTACCATATCTAACTGGTTTATGATTGAGAAAGCAGAATTTGAGGGTGTTTATAAACTCAAGTTTTGCCCTAAGGAAGGTGTGGTTACGTGTGAGGATCTTGGGGTATTTTCTGCAAATGGTGATGGTAAAAGGTATGTAGGTCTTGCAAATCCTGGTCAATTTCAACAACTCAGAGTTGTGTTCCAGAAAGCTCAAGCCAATGAAGAAGGTGATATTGCAATGAGCACTTAGATGGCAAGTTTCATCACCAACTTCTAAGCTTAAGCATCAATGTAATAATAATGAGAATAAGAACTATCATGTAACAAATATGTTGATGATGAAATGAGTGGCCAAGTATTTTTTTTTTAACGAGGAGTTAGATTTCAATCAGATAGTCAATTTAACCTGCCTTTATTAAATATATCTTAAAAATGTAAATATTAAAAATGTAAGTTCGACTCACTAAATTAAGGAAGCCAAACTTCAATTAAACACTAGTAAACCATTAAACAGTGTAAGCTATAATCTAACATTAATGGCTTAGTTCGGTATGAGAGAAATGAAGGGAAGAAAAGGGGAAAAAAATTTTAATGATGAGCTAGATTTAAAAAATTAGAGAAATGAGGTTATAAAATTTTGATAAAGAGAATCTACAAGATAAAAGAGTGAGAAAATTTAATTAAAAGTTTTTAACCCCAATTTTTAAATTTTTTAAATCGAGCTTATTAAATTTTTCTTCCCCATCCTTTCTCCCATTCTCTCATCAAACATAGGGTAAAGAGGCAAAGCGACAGAAACCAAAGCAATAATGGATAACAAACAAAATCATTTAAGCAACATCAATCAAACGACAAATAAAAACATAGCAAAGATGATCGCCGAAAGCAAACAAAAGTCACACCAGTTCTCATATTAGAAAATGTCCCTACTCCTTTTGTGAGAAACAGAATAAAATAACACTTGCTTTTGCAGTCCCTAAAACTTCGATGTCTAGGTTTAGTTATATAATGTGGGGCCTAACAATTCCCTTGACCAGAGTCAATAATGCAATGCTACATCAGAAAATTCAAAACGTGAATAAATAGACATATTGATGAAAATATGAAATATATAAAACTTCATCGCAGTGTCATGGTTCTCGATCATATTCATTTATTTTCAACCAATCCACCTACTAGATATGTGTAAACACAAAATATCGAGGATTGGCATTAGAATTACCCGATTAGGGAAAAAAGTATTGGTAACAAAACAGCATATTCCGAAAGAAGTGGAAAGTGAAATACTAACCTCCGGTCCTAATATAAGAAATAATTTAACTTTTATTTTAATTATAAATATAAAATCTCAATTTAATTTACCTTTCATATTTATCTATTTCTTTTTCAAAATAGTCCCCGTAATAGTTGCATATATTAAAAAATTCATCAAATGATAGTTATAACTAATACATTTAATTAACAGTAATATTTTAGAAAAGATCACCTATTTATTACAAATAACTAATTTAACTAATTTTTTTAACCTATTCAAATTAATTAACTATCTCTCTCATATTAAGGATAAAAGATAGTATTAAATTAAACATTAAGCACCATATTTTTTGGGTGTATTTAGTTATTTACAACCAGCCTTTGCATCTTTACAGTAAAATTCTCCCGCATGACATTAACTTGCAGTTACGCCCTATAAAATTGAAATAATTCTCCTGTTTTCTTCCAAGAGCTTTGTAGTTAAAAGCGTAAAAGTTACTTTTAAAAAATTATAAGTTTTCGGATGGTACGTTCATATGCACATCACTTTATTCCCCAATAGTGTCCATAACAAAAGTCAACTGCACGACAAAATTTGCATCGCTTTAAGCAGAACTTTGATAATCATAATGTAACAACACAGTTAAATAACCTTAATTGTCAACATCCTTGATACCCCAACTCATACCCTCACAGTGCCTTATATGTGGAACAAGTGCACTTGTGTCAGTTCCTCTCGCGGCCTTGCAGTCATAGAAGGGAGAAGCATGGAAGCATGGCCCCATTCACATAGCAAGGAGGATCCGGGGATGTTCAATTCTCCGACTTGTTCAGTACCCATGGCTTCAAGCCTCCAAGGCCTTGAGCCACGCACCCAGAAGTTGACCATGAGCTAGTAACCAGCACATTGGGTAAGCTTAGCAGATACATCTCTGCCAAAGCTTTCTGGTTATGCATCTTCTCTGTTAGTTGATACCCTTCATGGCTTCGCTGCTATATGCCAACCACCCGTCCTGTCACCGTAGGATACTCCCAATACATGTCCCTTACCTTTTCAAAATATCCTGAGCTTAAAGATGTAATCAGTACTCATTTTGATGGTCGCTTTTCTGATGAACTCACAGTATCTTGCTTCCTGTTTACGTCAGGCAAAATATTCTCTCTCAAAGTACAGGATAATAACTGATCCAATACATGTTGAAATGGACCTGTTTCTACGTCTCTTTATTGTTTTTTTTTTTTTGGGTCAGAGTCCTGTTTCTATGTGAATCACTCTAATCCGGATGCCTAATCTGTCGTCAGCTTTAGCTAAATAAGCTTCATAGTACCTAGTGACAAGTCCCCATACAATGTTGGTGGGGTGGAATAGATATTTACCCAAGAAGTGGAAAATTGTATCCTTCTTTGGGAAGAGATTGTTCAGTTCCTGCTCAAAAGAATGCATTAAGTATAGAGATGGGATGAAGTAATTATCTGTTTTCATCATTAACCAGGCTACTTTCTGCAGACTTTGGTCTTCATCACAGAAGAACAGCTTATCGTGATCATCATAATCATGGGTTAGATGAAGATAGACATAAGATGGTACTGTGGAATTTGTAATTGAATTGTCTTTCAGCATCTTCCCATAACATTGAGCAGATTGCTGATTGAGCTTGTGCATTTCGGTTCACAAGGGCAAATCAGGAGGGAGAAACCAGGAAATATCAGGAAATGGTTCACAAAACAGATCTATCATATCAACTCCAGGATCAACCAGTACGACACGATTTGCGAGAAGAGCGTAAAGAAATGCAGAAGCTAAGGTCAATATCCGATTTCCTAACCCACTAAATGAAATCCAAACTATATATTTACAATCAGGACGCAGTAAAATGCCCAGGCTTGAGCTCTTTCCCTGTTTTGTTATAGGATTCAGTATAAGGTCAGCATTCTTTATGGAGAGCTTCATGTTTTCTAAGCGTAGAGATGAGATAAGAAGAAAGCTTTCCTGATAGCCCTTTGCCATATGTGCCTGACATATAACTGATGAGACAAGACCTTTTATCAAATCCAACAGCAAGAAGACCACCCAGGGGTTCATTTCTTTGCAACTCAACAGAATGAGAGAAATCTTGGTTCAAACCTATGTCAGAAAAGAATCAAACCTATGTCAGAAAAGAATATAATCCATTACTTGATCAGATTTTCCAGCAAAAGCAGACAAAAAAACATTCTTGCACCACGGCAAACAAGAATTTTCAGAAAGAGACATTAAGTGAGAAATATGAAACAGAAATCAGTCACACACTAGCAAGGTAATCAGCGCAGCAATTGAGATACTTCAGAAGGGGGAAATGAAATATAATGGTGTATTTCGGGTTTACAAGCACACAATATAATGGGGTATTTCAGATTTACAAGCATCCCATGCAATGCACAGGAAGCACACGCTAGTTCTAATGAAAACAAAGTAGAGGAGGATGCCCTGATTTACTAAAATAGCCATACTTTTTCAACTTCCAATATACCCCCTTCCTTTTAGTCTTTGAAGATTGAAATTAAACCCTCTTATTTGCCAAAAAACGTAAGCATATGCATTAGCAGTGTTAAATATAACATAAAATTAAACTTACAAAACCAAAGAAAGGACAGATTGGTTCAAAAAAAATGACAGCAGCAGAGTTAAGCTAGCAGCCTAGCCCTAGGTGAATTTTACACAGAGAACTTGAAAACAAGAATTTATGTTCCACTTATTTAACAATTGATCCAAGTTGAAAATGTAGGCATTTATTACTCATCAGTAATATTTCTCAGTCGACTGAAACAGCTCAACAAGTATATATTTCTTTTCCATTCTATGAAGAACTTGACTTTAAGAGGAAACAAATATACTTTTACCCATTTTAGTAAGTAGAGTATGAAAATAATCCAAACATGTATATGCTCATGGGAAAAGCAAAGTGAAAAGTGGTCACCCAGACGCTAACAAGGCACATGGCAACATAAGTCAAGAATAAGCAAGAGCGAAATAGAAAATTGGTCTCGTTCTACTTGGTTGATTATTCTTTGGTTTCTCTTCCTTGAATTGGGCTAAATGGTGAAATAGCTCAATCCAAGAATATAGTTCATTATTATAAAACTAAAAGCACCGATATTATCATTTTATTTTTCACCAGTATCAGCATATAATTTATAAGGAGTCAACAAAACTCGTAAGCTTATACAAAACTAGAATGTAGCGGGCCAAAAAAGATCAAAAATTAAGGTGGGGGTATGAATCAAAGAGTTAGAGCTGAACAGTTCAAATTGATCAAAACAGTTAACCATTTCGAGGTCTGATTCAAAGGAGAAGCTGTAACGCAACTTCCACAATAAATTAAAATACAAGTACACAACTACCTTCACTTTGTTTAGGCTGAAATATATCAGACGTAGATGCCTCAGCAACGTCATCTGAAGGGGGCTCTTGGAGAACCATCGACACTGAAAGCAATGCAGAGAAGAGCATCAAACAAAGCAGGAAGAACCCAATCGATTGCTTCAAATTAAGCCCACATTTTTTGTCAGAGCCTCCTGAAAAGTCTCTGCGGCTGACCAAATTTGAGAGCTTTTCTGCCACGTCATATGGATTCCTATTGACCCTCTTCATCGTACCCACAAATCATCATCTGGGTAAGCCCACACAGCTCGGTTCCAACCAAATGGTCAAGATCATGCAATTCAACAGATCATATGTCTGAGTGTCGGGGATGATGAGCGAGGCCAGGACTGTAAAATAGTGATGCAAAGAGTCAGATCGTAGATCATGTCAGCAGCTGAACATCAAAATATGGAACATCATTGTAAATTAAAAAAAAGAAGAAGAAGAAGAAGAAGCAAGAATTATAATGAAAGCTGGCAGATTCTGCTTATGAGGTTATTCTTACAGAGTGACATCATCCCATAATGTAGTACGTTTACTTCCTTATCAGTTATCATATCAAAGGGATTGGTAAATAATTTAGCCATCATATGACTCAAACTTTAATACCTGTTAGTAGTGAGAAAAAGGCTTGATAGGAGTTGCAAAAGTAAGAAGGAACTAATTGGGCATGATTTCAATCTTAACTCTCACATTTTTTTCTTTACGTGAACCAAGCAAGCAATGTTCATTAATAAGCAGGCATACTAGATGGACATCTCTATCTTGTCTGCCTTGCTGCGACTATCATTCTTGCTTCTATATGGACTCAATTGTACGAAATCTATAACCATTAAGGTTGCTTCAACAAGACCTTGTCTGTGCATCATTTCTTTTACAGAACAGAAATCAGTTCAAGTGAAAACCCTAACTCCGTAACTTAGTATCAACCAGTTGCTCCCTCTTTGAATGATTACATGCTTCTTTGAATGATTACATGCTTTTAGTAGATGCGATTTTGCTACACTGCCTGCTATAATAATGAGTAATGTATTCCTTGTTGATAGAGTGAAGGTAACCATATTGTGCCTCTGAGTCATCCAATCTGCAACTCACTTTAGGACAAGTCAAGGTTACGGGCATGCTTAGAACAAAATATTATCCCCAAGAAAACATTATTCCAAGCTACCTTTGGGTTCAGGACCTTGGCAATAAATAGTTCCAACAACAGATCCCCGTGACACATTAATTTTCCTCTCACTACTCAAGAGCAAACAAAAAGAAAAGGTCCATTAACTGTGGATGATGAGCCCCAAAAGCCACATGCTCTACCAGAAGCCTTGCTTTCCAAGCAACCATGATAGCTCCTGTGGCTGCTACCAAAAAAACATAAATAAATGTCAGCTTAAGACTGGTGAAGGAGAGTTTAACTACTTGAGCAACATTTTGATGATGATAAAGAATCTGCACAAACAAGCGATCAATGTCCAAAAAACTTGAATACACAGACAAACTGGAGACTGAAAATCATTGAGAATGCATCAAATGCAACTTATAACTTAATCAAATAGCAATTATTGTAAAAAATCACGCTCATTACCAATTGCAAAACATCTCAGAAGAGCTCCAGAATTTTCTTGGACATTTGAACCACTCTTCAAGGGTTTGAATGCCTTGGCATGTAGCCATAAGCTTTTATGTTCCTAGTCAAATGCTCAAGAGCATCATATATCTCTGTTTTCAGAGCATGACTATCATCCGCTGTCACAAATTCATTCACCTCGGTTTCCACCACTATCAAGCTGCAACCAGGAGATCTTGACTTTTTTATCTGATTTCTGACAATCATTTTCTTATTCCACATGCCTTTATCAGCGTAGATATTAGACATCGCAACAGAGTCACCCACATAATCGGGGTCCAACTCAAGTAGCTTCCCCCTAACTTCTGCGCCTAGCTCTATGTTGCTATGGAGGCTGCATGCCCCCAACAAGGTTCGCCACATTACTGTATTTGACCTCACAGGCATCTCCATAATGAAGTCATAAGCATCTCCCAAACATCCGGCCCTGCAAAAAAGATCCACCATGCAACCAAAGTGAGGCTCTCTAGGTCGTATACCATAACTTTCAGTCATACTTATAAAATGGTGCTTCCCTTCCTCAACCAACCCTGCATGGCTGCAGGCCATTAAAACTCCTATGAACGTCACATCATTTGGGACTATGAGACAATTGCTAGAATTCGGTGTTTTACTGTTTCTCCTTGTGCTTATTTCTGAGAAAAGCTCAAGAGCTTCTTCTGCCTGCCCATGCAGCGCATGCCCCACAATCATGGATGTCCAAGTTGTAACATCTTTGTTTCTAGTGCTATCAAACAATCTCCTTGCAGCCATGATGTCCCCACATTTAGCATACATATTAATAAGAGCATTATTCAGGGTCAAATCTTTGTTTAGACCTTTTTTTCTTCTAAGAAAATTGTGGATCCATTCACCTGTTTCAAGTGCCCCAATGTCAGCACAGGCAGAGAGAGCAACAGTAACTGTGACTTGGTCAGGCTCCACATTGTTCATCTGCATCTGTCTGAACAGCTGTAAGCCTTTGCAGGGTCTCTGATTTTCAACATAAGCAGAAATCAGAGACGTCCAACATATACTATTTTTACGAGGTATTTCATCAAACACCTTGTGGGCGTCCTCCAGCTTTCCCCAGTCAGAGTACATTTTCAGAAGGCATGTCTGGAGTTGAACTATTGTTTCGAATCCAAACTTTATGATGAGACAATGAATTTGGTTTCCAAGGCTGGTGGAATGCTTTTTGTGGGTGCAAGCCTTGAGAGCAAACAAGAAAGAGAAGCTATCAATGGAAGAGGCTCTTTCTCTAAGCAAGTACCTAAACAGTAGGAGAACCTTGGCTGGGTGATTGCAATCTAGGTACTTCTTAAGGCTTTGGTTTGACCTTGGAGGTCTGAGGTGAATGTGGAAGTGACGCTTGGGAAGAAACAATAACTTGCTCAAACTCACTTGAACTAACAATGGCAACTTTTTTGAGGTCATAATCTACGTCAAGAAGCCCACGAGCGTCAAGCAACATCCCATAAACGGTTAGTGTGTGTTTGGTTTTGAAGTTTGTGAAACAGCATTTGGATAAACTAGAGTTTGCAAACTGAAATTTAGGCAAATGTCAGCTATTGTGATGTTATTTATATTCATACAGTTTTTTGTTTAACAAAAGAGTCGGTTTGGCAAATTAAAACTTGTTTGAATGATACAAAGCATGTTTAGATATGTAATGACTGAAAGGGACGTCAGTTTTATGATGTGTGTCCGTGAGAGAGAGAGAAAATTAAGCTGCATATGATATATAATTTTGATATCTTCAATAAATAAAAATATTAAAAGGAATGTCACTATGAGGAGGAGGAGGAGGAAAGCTAAATTGGTATAGTAGCACATGAAAAACTGCTTTACTGTAATATGAAGCTCATAATGAAGTTTTTCAAGTAATTTTCTTAGGTAAGGTCTTGGGTTTTGTCCAAAGTTTTACTGAAATAGCAACAGTCCAAGCTATCGTAACAGACAAAAATGGTCCTCTCTCCGCCAGAGCGAGGAGCAGAGAGGAAGCAATACCAACAAGAACCCAAAAAAAAAAAAAGATAAAGAACCGAATCCGGCTGTATAGAGCATAAGAAATTTTTTCTGGTCTGCATCGAAAGACAGAAGTCAAGAACCAACCGAATCCAACAAATCAAACGCAAGTCAAGATCATTCTTTTCTGTCTATAATAGAACTAGAGGAGGATGCAGTAGAAGAAAGCTTTACCACTTACCAGGGAAAAAAATGGTGCGCAGGGAAGGATCGCACAAAGACCAGAAACGCCGAGCAGGGAAGAAAACAGCCGACGAAGGCAAAGGTCCGGCGACCAACGACAGGGACAACGGAGAGAGACAACCGAGATCGAACGCGGGCATAGACCTTCCGATCGGCTACTTCCTCGCTGCCCTGATCGGCAACAACAGTGCAGACAGCAGAGGAAGTGTAGTGTTGGCTTTAGTGCTGTTTGGTTTGAGGGGAGAGAGGGAGAGGGGCTTGTTTGATTTGATTAAAAGAAAAGAGAGGAAGGGATATTTAATATTTGGTTTAAGAAAGAGGAGAGAGATAGTAATAATTAATTTACTATTTTATCTTTATATATTAGTTTATATTTTATTGATATATTATATAAATTAATTTACATCTTAATTTAAATCATATAATTTAATAAAAATTCAGTATTATCATGTTAACATGTGTATTAAAAAATCGGTACAGTATTTTTTAATTCTAATTTTTTTTTAGGCTAGGCCTTTTTCAACTTTAAAATGTATTTAATAAATAATATATTTATAAAAAATAATTAATTTTATAATATTTAATATTTTTTATTTTTATAATAATTTATATTAATTTTTATTATAATATATTTTTAATTCTAATAATTTATATTTTTTTATTTTTTACTTAGGATAATATTTTTTTTATTTAAAATAAATATTATAATAACATATTTTATGGGTGGTTGTAGAATATCAAAAAATCATAAGAGTATAATGGTTTAAAAATTTAGCTCTCCCAAAAACTCTCAATTTGGAGGGGAACTAAGGGTTTGTTTGGTTTGAGGGGAAGGAGGGGTAGGGGAGGGGAGGGGAGGTTTCATCCTCATCTTGTTTGGTTTGATTAAAAATGAGAGGAGGAGAGGATATTTAATGATCCCTTGTTTGGTTCAAGGAGGGGAGGGGATGGATAGTAATAATCAATTTACCATTTTACCCTTACATATTAGTTTATGTTTTTTATTGATATATTATATAAATTAATTTACATCTTAATTTAAATCATATAATTTAATAAAAATTTAGTCTTATCATGTTAATGTGTATTAAAAAATTGGTACAGTAATTTTTTATTCTAATTAATATAATAATATATTTAAAATAATCAAATTAACAAATTTTATATGCTCTAAGAAAAATGAAATTTTATTCTCTTTAGGCTATCTTTTTTTCCAGCTTTAAAATATATTTAATAAATAATATATTTATAAAAACAATTAATTTTATATATTATAATTTTTTATTTAAATAATTTTTTATTTTTAAATAAATTTTTATAATATATTTTTAATTATAATCATGTATTTATTTTTTTATTTTTTTACTTAGGATAATATATTTTTATTTGAAATAAATATTATAATAATATATTTTATAAGTGGAATATTGAAAAAACTATAAGGGCATAATGGTCTAAAATTTGGCTCCCCTCTAAAAACCTCCAATTTGGAAGGGAGCCAAAATGGGGGGAGGGAGGGGAGGGGACATTTTAGCTCCCTTTCCCTTCAAAATTTTTAACCAAATAAGGGGAGGGGCTCATTTTCCCTCCCCTCCCCTCCCCTTCCCTCCAGCCAAACACACCCTATAATGGAGGGAGGGGAGGGGAGGGAACATTTTGGCTTCCCTCCCTTCTAAAATTTTTAACCAAATGAGGGAAGAGGCTCATTTTCCCTTCCCTCCAACCAAACACACCCTTAGAGCAGAACGTATGTTTTGCCAATAATTTAGGTTTAATTGTATCATTATTAATAATTAACAAAAATATCAAGCATAATAAAATTTATGATAATCTGATTGAAAGTGCTAAATATTCTTTGATATTTATATCAATATGCAAGATAAAAAGTAATGGAAAAAAATTACATTACCCTGCGCTTTTTAGTGTTTAATCAAAATAAAAATATACAAAAAACACATGTTGCTTTTTGTATAAGAAAAAAAAACACGTTGCTTTATGAAATAAACTAGAAAGCAATAGTAGAAGTTAAGTAGGGGATTTGTTAATTTATCATAAAATAGAGAGAGATTGTTAGACATATAAATATAACTGATTAAGGGCTATCTTGAACTCACCTACAACATTCCCCGTGTTCTTTCAAGATGGACTCTAGCTGCTAACTGCTGTTGTCGTTTTGATGGCAACGTGTACTAGGCTTGTCTTGTTTCTTTCTAATGTTGTTGTTTTTCTGTTGTGTTGGCCGACCTCTTTTCTTGAGTTATTTGAACTTAGCTCAAATGGACCAATCATGATTTGCCAACCTTTTTAATGTAATTTTTTATTTGATTTTTGAGTAAAATTGTCTTTTTATTAAAAAAAAGAATAACTAATTAAGAAGGGTTGACTATAACTCAATTTTAATATATATATATATGTATATATTGATTTCTATATATACAAATATTTTATATATGTGTGTGTAAATGTATATGTTAATTAACGATATCTATGGAGGAAAGTATTTCAATTTTCAGGGTTTTTTCGTTATATTGTTCCATATCTTGGGAGGATTTGTTTAGTAGGCTATGCCTGAATTAGCACTGATAAATTTGGCCCAAAAAAATTAGAATCCGGCAAAGTGATTTTTTTTTTTTAATTTGACTCTTGCCAATTTAAGATAAAACAAAAATTAATTTGCATAATTTGATTTATATTTGGTTAATTTTTACAAAAGTCACAGAAAATTGTTTATAGATAATTAATGGCAAAAAAGTTTAAGTTTAGATACAAAATAACTGATTTTTATTAAATAATATACATTAAACGATGTAGTTAATAAATAAATGTATTATTTTATCAAATAATACATATATATATTAAAATATAATTTTAAGAGAAATATTAAAATTAAAAATTACAAAAATAGTTAAGGTATGAATTAAAAAATTGAAAATACTAACAGACTCTCGATATACATGAGCTCATAACATTATTACGCTCATGCATATTGATATATATATATATATATATATATATATATATGTTTACAAATGATTTCAGTTACATGTGTATGATATATATCAAGTGTCCATTTAGTATAAGGGAAATAAAGGGAAGGGGAGGGGAAAAAATTTTAATGAGCTCGATTTTAAAAATTGAAGAAGTAGGGTTAAGAACTTTCAATTGATTAATATTATTATTTTATCTTACATCTACTCTTTATTAAAATTTTAATGCCTCACTTCTCCTTATGGGTAGTAATACCGGCCAACTCGCAACCCGTGATGAGTTAAGATTAAATGGTGCAAGTTGAAAAGATCCGTGTAACGACGAGTTGGCTTTTAGTCCTCCCTAACCTGTCATAGTGGATTGACGGCCAACCCGCCAACTATTATATTCTTTTTTTAAAACTTTTTTCAATTTTTTAAATATTTTTTCTGATGCAATATAAAAAAACATAATAAAATTTTTATTTTTTATTCAAATACTTATTGAAAACATCAAATAAATGATATTGGTATTTTTTTATTTTTTATATAGGATATAAAATATAATGATATAATTGTAATAATTAATAAAATTAAAAAAAATCCTGATGGGTTATAGATTAAGAGGTGCGGATTAAAAAGTTTCGTTTACTGGTGATGTGACTTTTCGCTGGCCCTAATCTGTCATTTTTTGTAGATTGACAGGTTAGACCCACGTCCCACGAGTCAAATCCATGTGACCAGCTCTACTTCTTTTATTTTTCAAATTGAGCTCAATGAAATTTTTTCTTCTCTCCATTTTCCTCCAATACCAAATATAGGGTAAAGGTTGTCTGAAAAAATAAAGAGTAGTGATCATCAAGGTAAAGGAAATAAAGATATCAATATCATGCTAGCCACTCAAAGATGAAAAACATAAAGGTCATGAAAAGATTATTTACAAAAAGCTTAAAAAGATTATTGAAGATATTAAAGAAACTTTTTGGATTCATTAAAACATTGGTCTAATTAGAGGCTAGAAATCTTTGTTGTGAATTCTTTGACTTAAGGTGTACCCTTGTCAAAGGAACGGATCAGATGTGTTGGCTTGAGCTTTTGGTCATTAATCATATCATCTTGTATAGGTGTGACCCTTGTTAGATTCCGTAATCACCTACTATTCCAATACTTAATATAAGATCGAATTAACTTATTTAGAGAGAGTAATTTAAAATTTAATAAATCATCTTAAAATATTTATATTTATTTTTTTTCAAATTAACTTGCTACGCTTATAAATTGATATATAATATAATAATACATATAAATATTTTCAAGAGATTATGTACCACATATTATAACTAAGGGCCTATTTGGTGTGCTGAAAATCTTGCAAGGGAAAAGGAAAATCCATATTTTCCATCAGCTGAAGACGTTTGGTTGCCCAATCTTCCTCGAAGCCATTTTTTGGCAGCGGGACATTTTTCTTTAAAGACGGGAAGATGGCTTCCCACTATTTTTGGTGGGAAACCATTTTCCATCCAACTGAGAAAATTTTTGGGACAACTTGACCCCTAAAAGAGAAAGTAACAGTGACGGAAATAATGAGGAAGAAGAGGAAGGGCCAGATGGAGCATCAAAATTATATGGTTAAAGTAAGAAATGAGATGAAACACATTTAAATACTCTCTAAATTAAACTACTGAACAATGAGTGGGCATTTTTAGATGAAGCAATCTGATCTTCCCCATTCGATACTTGAAAAACAACGTGTTCGGTGTTGCTG